GAAGATGGAGAAGAAATTATTAGTCACTAATGAAGTAAGAGGGGAAGTAAGTTAATGTTCTTCCCCTGTAGCTATTAGTGCCTGTGGGTGATAGCACTTAATTTGAATGGGACCTTGAGCTTTCTAATTCTAAAAGTTGTAAGGTACTGGATCTGGAGCAAGGATTGTATCTACTCTCTCTTTCTTCCAGTCAGTACCAGAAGGAGGGAGTGGTGTTAGTACCTGCCATTTATTCAGGACCTACTGAACATCATGCACTGTGCTTAGCACTGACATAATCCTGAATAATCCTGAGGTTATTATTCCTGCTTTACATGTTCTGTTGCTCCAAGAGGTTAAGTAACTGGCTTCTGGTTCCAAAGCCACGAAGTGATGAAGTTGGAAATGAAGTTGGCCTGGCTTTTGAAGCCTGTGCCATTTTCATTACACACTCTGACACCTCGTCTTTGCTGCCTCTAACTTTATGGTTCAATTTCTGTCCATTTTTGGGAGTTAAGTGCCTGCTAACCTGTTCCTGCCACAATGAGAGCTAATAAAAGATCTGAAATTGACAAAGTGTGGCATTTTGGAAAGAGTATTTTTAATTTGTAATCCAAACATCTGGGTGAATCAAACTTTGGCTATGTAATTTGATATTTTTGTGACTTGGGGCAAGCCTTTTACTGTGAAAATTATTTATTTTGAGGGCCCCAATTTCTGAAACTGCAATCATGTGAAAATGATTTTAAATTGTCAAGTGCAATGCAAGTAGATGATGATGTGATCTTAATGTGAATTTAAGTCAATGTGTTGCCTTCTGTAGGATTCTTAACATTTGAGGAGTTTCAGTTACCATCATTCTATTATATTTAAATTTATTACACATCAATTCTGTGCAAGTTTTTCTGGAGAATTATAGATATGTAAGATCTGGAGAGACTTAAAGCAGTTCAGAGACAAAATAAAAGATATTTTGTCCTTCAGAGAAAGATTTTTCTGCAGTAAGAACCAGAAGGGATATATGCCTATACAAGAGAAAGATCATTCTCTAAATATTTTTCTTAGGGACGAAGAGAAATGCTGATTTGAAAGAAAGTGTCAAACACCTTCAATATGCAGTGTTGGCATTCAAAAGCTTCAATCCATTGGTTCTGTGTCTAGCCTTTTATTTAGTATATTTAGCGAAGGGGATGTTCGTGTTCAGCCACAAATTCTTCATCTGAGTCACAACCTAACTTTGGTCAATTGACTTATTCTTATTTTTCAGATAGGGAGGAAAATATTTTTATGCCATAAAGGGAATAACATCACAAATAAGGGAAGACTATAAAGTGCCATGAGCTTTGGGAATGAAATTTGCTATGAAATGGATATCTGTGAGCTTTCTACAGTATTGTGGTAATTTCAGTCACATCACTCCTTAGAGGCCTGAAAGGGAAGCTCAGTCATTTAAAAATAAAATAAATAAATAAAACAATTATCAGGAAATACTATCTTGAATATAAAATGCACAAATTGAAAAATGTAAAATTAGATTAAGCTGTTGACTGCCTTTATTCCAGCCCTTGTGGATAGACGTGTGGCTGTTAGACACAATTTGCAATATCCACCTTTGTGAACAGTAGAAAGCTTAGAATGATGCAAATTGGAGTACTCACAAGATTCTGTACCTTCTGCTGTTTCCAGAATTGTGACTGTTCAGGGGCTGAGTACCACTGATCAGGCATCAATCTCGCAGGTATGGATTAGCCAACAGGAAATTCTGGAGCATCCAAGAGAAATATATTAATAGAAATTGCTCTTTCAGTTTTCTAATGAGCTTTGAAGAATGAATATGCACATTGGAGCGTTTGTTAGTTAACACTCACTAAAGTCCGCTGTACATTCACGGCAATGCAGTGTCAAAAGAAATAAAAATTTGCAGATTTTTTTTAATCAGATCATTAAAATTGCTCTTTTTGTAACCTCCTACAGCTGAAGGTTTTTTTTTTTTTTGTCCCAGTGGTGGGTGGTAAATGAATAGTATCAAACAACTTCAGAATGAAACTAGAGGTAAAACTAGCCAGACCCCTTAACTCCTGGATCAGAACCAGACAATACTAGGCAAGAAGGCTCAATTCCCAGCAGCTTCATGATCCAAAACATCTGTTTCTGTATTTGGCACAATTCCACTTTTTTATTTGTAAAATTGTTCCCATCTTTGAAAACACTTTAAAAAATAAAGAAGCCCCCATTCTGTCTCCCTTTCCACTTCCCAGCACATGCATCTGTAATTACCTGGTTTAGTCTGTGTGTTTAATCAGTTTAAATTGAGAATGTTGCAGACATCTGATTTCAATCTGAAGGAGCCATTGAGTATTGGACAGTTACCACCCTGTGTCTGCCAAAACGGGCCTCTGCCAAAAAACAGATAGGACTCACACCAGGGTATTTCCTAAAGAAGCCACTTGACTCAGATTAGATGTTTAATTTCCTTAAAATATTGTTTTGGATGTGAGTCTCTGTTCTCTAATTGGAATATTCTGATGTAATTTAGGAATATCGCTTATTTGCTGAGCTTGTTCTAGGATCCAGCTGGCATTATTCTAAAAGCCTAAACCTCAAGGAAGTTAACTTCACTCTGAGCACTGAGTATTATACCTCGCGGCTTTGAAGAGTGGGCCAGGCCCACATTTGCTCACATCTTTGTGGAACCATTGTACATGCATGCATTGCAGTTGAATTAATTTTGAGAGAGAAAGACTTCTAGTTATGGTAATGAAACTTCTGATCAGAGCTTCTCATCTTTTGAGATAGTTTCTTAATTGAAGTAGGAAAAAATTATTTTCTTCTACTACTGACTATTCACTTAAATTTTATTTTAACTTATGACGTTTTTTGACATATCAACCAAGTTTCTAGATTTCCTCAGCAATGTTCACTTAAAACACCTGTCATTGGCCAGAGTTTGAGATTTTAAGTTTTTGTTTTGTTTTTCCTTGTTGGATTGTAATTTCTTTTCTTCTTTATTTCTGTTCTTTTGTTTGAGCTTTTCTGCTCAACATAGTAATCCCAGCACTTTGGGAGGCCAAGACGGGCGGATCACGAGGTCAGGAGATCGAGACCATCCCAGCTAACACGGTGAAACCCCGTCTCTACTAAAAAACACAAAAAAACTAGCCGGGCGAGGTGGCGGGCGCCTGTAGTCCCAGCTACTCGGGAGGCTGAGGCAGGAGAATGGCGTAAACCTGGGAGGCGGAGCTTGCACTGAGCTGAGATCCGGCCACTGCACTCCAGCCTGGGTGACAGAGTGAGACTCCGTCTCAAAAAAAAAAAACAAACAAGAACATGGAGCTGGGTTCTTTCTAAAAGTTTTACATTGGAGTTCTTGAGTTCAAAGGTTTTCAGCACATGAAAGGCTCTGTGAGCCCGTTGATTTGTTAACAATGTTAGGATGGCTGCTAAAAATTCCCTTGCACATTTTGCACAGTGGTAAAGCCATACACAGGGTGATGGGCTGACATTTCCTAGGAGTATAGTATTGTCAGCAGCTCATGAGCTTGCCTTAAGCCACACAACCAGCATGCTAGAAGCAAAGCAAATGTAGAGAACATAGTAGGGAAACCTGTGAATATCTACTTATGTCAGGGCTTTAAAAATCTTTCTTATCACACAAGCACATAGCATCAGCTGTTTGGGGTTACCAGACTGTAGTCAGAAGTTTGTTTTTCAAGGACATAATCAAAACCAATGAAGATAAAGAATAAAAAGTTGAATGTCATAAAGCTAAGATCACTTACTATAGCTTTGCATAATGGGGTTTGTCTTGCCAAAGAAACTAGGAACATTTAAACATTTCAAGTCAGCTTTCTGAGGTAGGTCTCCCCACCACATTCATAGGAGGACCCCTGAAAGTTAGTTTCCTCCTCATTCCTCCTTGCCTGCCTAGGACCTATCCCCAAAAGGTGCTCTTCTGTCTCTGGTATGTTTGTGCTCTAATTCATGATGCATTTATCTTAAAGTTTAAATCCTGTTGGCAGCCTCATTCCCACTTTTCTCATGTCTTGCAAAACACTGCCCACAACTGGCAGCGAACTTGCTAGGGTTTGAGTTTTGTTCTCATCACTCCCAGATGAGCCCCAGTTCCCTCTGCTTTTCTGACTTCCAAGAGTTGTTGAGGCACAAAGGAGCAGGAGAGAAGCTCCATTGGCTGTAAAGAACTGTGTGCAAATAGAATTGTTATTTGGCTAGTTTTAGCATTTCTCATTTCTGAAAGCCAAATGAGGCATAGTCTAATTCATTCATTTCACAAATACTTATTGAACACTTACTATCTATCAGGCACCATTCTGGGTGCTTCAGATACAGGGAGAAGAAACAAACCAAGGATCCTGTCCTCCAGGGAGCTGAGGTAAAGGGGGTTGTTTCAACACAGTCCTAGCATTTGGTTGTAAGGTTCACTGAATAGCTGCAGTGAAAGAACTAAAGGCATAGAGAGGTTAAAGGACTTGCCTCACCCTGTCTAGTCTGAAGGAGCAGGGAATAGAATCCTTTATCTACTCTTACTATATTTCTTTGAATCCAATATAGATATGGTTCTGGTAGTTTCTTTGTGATTCCTTTTAGTATCCGAAAGGAAGAAGCTTCTGCTCAGATATATCTGTGTGTCTGACAATTGTGGTATAGGTATTGGGAAAAAAATTGGAAATAGTAATTGCTAATCAGTATGAGTGAAAGGAGAATTTACATATAAAGATCACCAAACCTAAAAGGAAAGGATGTTACAGTAAGAACTTAAAAAGTCTTCAACTACTTTGTTAGATGCCATAGTAGTTGTTGGCAGAACAGTTTGGACAACCATCCCATCAAAACCTGCATCTTCTGTGTTTAGTGTGTGTATCCATATGTAAACACCTGGATTTTTCATCCTGACTGTGTAGTTCTTGAAAAGAAGGCTACAGTGATGCCTAAAAAATTTGTCAGACTATTGTCATAACAGTGTATTAATTTGGGATCTTGCTGTCTTCTGCCTTCTCCTTTAG